CATTTGATTGCATTCCTCGATCTAAGTTGTTACAGAAACTGGAATCGTTTAAATGCCCCAAGCAGTTGTTAGCCTAGCTATCTAACTACTTTACCGATAGGGTACAAACCACTAGATTGGGGAAGGCCACATCGAAACCCTTAGTCAACAACTCTGAGGTTCTTCAATAAACTGTGCTATCCCCATACTTATATTCGTGACATTCCCTGTGTTTCTCCCGCACGAATTTTGAAATATGCAGATGACGTCGTGTTGTGCCAGCCCATTTCTTCTTACTCTGATCTAAACTCTTTCACCGACAATCTTGATCGAATTCAGTCATTCTCTTACTCATCGGGTTCAGGGTTACCCTGAACCCCAGGAAGTGTTGAGTGCTTATATAGTTTTGCTCGCTCCCCATATCCAACAGACCCCACAGTGATTAATAACAATCCTCTATCCAGGGTGAACTCTGTCAAATATCTTGGTGTAACCGTAGATAACAATCTTTGTTGGTCAACCCACATCCACAACTGCATTGGTAAACTGCGGCGCCTATCATTTCAAATACGAAAGCTCAGGTAGTTTCGTGCATCCCAGTCAGTTACTTATACCTTTTGAGGTTTAAAGATTTGTCATTGTAATGATCGAACTTTCACATGAATGTTTGTACACAGCTGAAGAGATAACGTGAAACAGTTGAATTCAACCTGTCCTGTGACGATGCTTGTTCTTGCTCTTATGAAATTCCTAAAGGGAACTGGATGTATGAATCTTATACCTTTGTTTATCAGTGCGTTCCTTCCATCTTACTCTACCGTTCCAGTCATTTTTCTTGGCTTAATCAAACATGATTTTAAAGTCTTACGCCGCGGTCTAACCATTATTAGTCGTGTCTCTTCTATTCCAGTGAATGAGTTAGCTTTTAAGCTTTCACAGTATCATGTAACTTCCTGCGTGAAATTTGCTGAAACGATCCTTACCACCCATTGCACGCAGAACTGACGTTTTCGGTTCCATCATTCAACACGCTCCCAAATCCGCCCAATTTCATCTTGAATTAACGCTTATCGCAATTCAACTATACCGTATCTTGTTCGTGTACTCATCGACAAAGAGCGGACAATAAGTGCACTTTGTCTTAACCTTGGATTATGAAATGTCCCCATGCGAGTGAAAACTTTTCTACAGTTGATGATGTACATTGTGACGGTTAACGTGTATGATTTTTTTTAACTGATGTAGGAGTTCCAATGCTTGAAAACATTATACACAATACACAAACATCCAAAGCCTAATGAATATTCGCTCGGCATTGCATCAGGGCTTTTAAATGGCGTATGTAATACACTGAAGCTGTATGAAAAGTCAATCTATAAACATTCATCGTTCTATTAATTAGCCAAATTATTTTATTTTCGTAGATTAAAGGAGGACCTCATGAATCATTCAGTGATCCATCTTTTTTTGTCCCCTGTATGAAATTAACCTATTCGAGCGGTCTGTTATTGATACGAATGATATTCAGTGTGAACCAAAGGATCCACTCTTTGGCAGAACACCGTTGGAACAATGTTATGAGGCTACGTACAACGGAATGAACCGACAGATGTTCTATGGATGCATAAGTAACGAAGCAGTGGGTGTGGGCATCCATCGCACACGTTGGTGGGTGATCCACAGTGGATAAGGAGCAATATGAGTTTCTGAAAACCGTATTTAACAACCGCCTACTGAAATGCTTGTCAGTAGCCACTTTAGATTAAATCCACTATGGCATTTCCTTTGGACCATATTTCTCACAAACAAAAATATTTCTGGTCTGTACAATTTTCCCTACAAAAAGTAAGATAATGAATGCTATTTAAGTGTGTTATTATCAACGGGCATTGAAGTGTCATCTTCTATTTAATAGATCTTCCGTCCCAGTTTATAGAATTTTGTAATGGAGTACGTTTTTCGATCAACTATGGGTAGTATAATTCAATGCGCGAAAACTGACCTTCGATCCACTCTGTTCAGAATATCTTTTGAGAGGAGTGATGCAAAGATATAAATGGGGGTGTGTTTAGCCGTATAAACACGTGCAACTAAGAAATAGTTAAATAGAACATATTGTATTCGAGCAACTTTGCTGTTTTCTAATCTCAACACAGTAAAATGTTTTGGGGGAAATAGTGCGAATAGCCAACACTTTCGACCGACTTTCCACTAACTCCTTTTGCCCCGATTGGACTTCACCACTTCAAGCTCTATCACTTATGCCAATTGCTCATGACTAATATAATTTAAAAGCTTATAACAATAGTCCGTTAACGGATGAAGCAGAATGTGATTCATAGCAAAGAAGGCAGTCTCGCAATGTGAACGAGTTCATGATGTGATCAGTTTCGGTGTTGGATTGCACAATGCGGTAACTGACCTGATCTGATGTTATGCAGAATCGGTACAGCGTAAGCCCTGTCAGTAATATTGGTGACCTTGACAGTCACTCCAGAAAGAGGTTTATAGTCGCACCCGTCGTAGCCTTGAACCAAACCTTTGATTCCACGATGTACCTGAACGAATAAAGCAAAAAACAACATAACAGATGATGATTGTAAGAACGGTAACTGTAAACCTTGAAGACCACATGTCTGGAAGCAAGGAGACGTTTCCTAGTGCACACCAAACTGCACTCAGCGTCACTATAGTTAAGGCGTTATTCCTTACAGTTGCAGACAGGATGAGCCCTTGTAATTCAGGGCGCGTAACAACACCGCTTTGCCATCGAGCTTCAGCCCATACCAGCGGTCCTTAAGCCTAGAACCAAAATAATTTATCTCAAATCTCGATCCTTTAGTCACGACCCGCAGTCCTTTAACCTAGACGCATAAACTGTGATCATGACCCTGTAGGCGAGTCAGATCAAAACGTATCGGAATGTTCTGGGGACAATGAATGTTGAAACATTTTATTTTCTACAAGTGTTGTTTTTGCAAAGCTGGATTAAAAATGAAAAGTATGGTACTCGCATGCTACACCACATATTGATTGGAGAGAATTTATAAGCTGTACCCGTATTATCATGCCATTCGTCACATCTCATACAGTGTTTTCGTATAACAAGCGATACTCCTGTGAGTAAAAGTGTGAAATGTAAAAGAAACGGTATACTTTTGTTTCGCATTCACAAGTCCCAACATGGAGCAAAAAAGATACAATAAATAAAGAATGATTCGATGTTGTATTTCCAGTTAAAGAGAACTCATTTTTTTCGGAGGAGGATACACCAACAGTCTGAGGATAACAAACAATTTTCACAACAGACACCCCTTTTAGTATATTTAGAGTATCAAGCTTGGATCAGCCCATTCAGTTGTTCAGAGGCATCAGGCACTCTTGATGGTCTTGGGTGTGTCTCACTCCTTGGGAAGTCACTAATTCCCCACAAATATTTTCATTGCATTTGGACGCATTTACCTCATGACAAATTACCGATCTTCCAAGGAGTGAAACCCACACCCAAGGCCATCAAGAGTGTCTGATGCCTCTGAACAGTGGAATAGGTTAATCGAAGCTTGATACTCTAAATTGATTGAGCCTTCACATAAGGTGTTGACCACCGACAATGTAGTCCAGGGGTAAGGGTTTGAAGTCCCGACTCGAATGTTTGCCGTTCTAGTCTTGACAGGGACACTAAAATTACGCACTGCTGACGAATCCGAAACAGAACGAAACAGTTGTACAGTGCTCTTTGTCGGTTATCACAAACACTTCTATTGCATTTGAACCCCTTTTACTGCACCAATAGCTTTTGACTTGACTCATCTGCAGCGAAAAGATCAAAATTTGTGCGTCGAGGCCAAAGAAATAAGCGGGTGGCGGCTAAAGGATTGCGGGTTTCAGCTGAAGCTTGATGGAAACAGGTGTGGTACCATCAAAAGCAGCATCCCCCCCAATCCTTAGTATGCAAACATATTGAGGCCAACAGGGAAAACACTAAATCTGCGCACCCCATCTAACCCGGTTATCCACTTCAAACGCTCAGAGGGTGACGTCCGTACGCGAGTAGAAACGAGCAGATAGGTTTATTGATCGCATCGGATCCGAGCCCGTCCGCTTGTCTGATGGAGTCTGGTAGGACAGTGTGATAGTTCAGCTCACAGCACCCGTATGTTTTCGTTCTGCTGCAAAAAAGCGGAATCGTTGAGGACATAGCATGTTATGAAGTCTGCTTCATGTCAAACAGTAAGACCTAACCTATCGGGGCCTTATGTGGTTCGCCACTCCAAGTTCCGGGGCTTAGGTTGCCGATTTCAACCACTGAACAGCAGGTCCTCGTGACTATGGGGTTTACCCGGTCTGCTGTTCATCACACCTAAGTGTGTAATAAAAAAAGCAAGACACATAGTATGAAACCGTCTGTGATTCTCGTTCATCGGATGAAAATAAATGTGCATTATTCTCAGAAGCTATCGTTCATTGTGTGATCTGGGTCCGTGGTTTAGCGGACCTCGTAGCATCTGCTTTATCTGGCAAGGCTATGGAGTAGTTCATTATATGAAGAGCCAGAAACTAGCCTGACTGAACTAGCATAAGGGAGTGACTGAAATAAGCTGCTGGCAACTTAAATCACACAGTATTGATGGTGATATTACTTACTGGGATATTTTCATATTGAGATTAGAGTACTAAAATAGAAAAAAACACTAATTTTCCCATTCGTGTATTTCATTTTAAAATGTTTTAACCAATCCATTCGGTTCAGCCTATCCAAACTCATTGCCTATATAATGAAAACCATAATATAAACTGTTGTTTCTTGTCGCCTCTTGGTGAGTGGAAAGAATTGTCCAAGTCATTTATAGCACAACTGTAATAAGTTTATATATATCATCTTGTTTGCAACACCGGGGGACTTTTGGATAGACAGAGCCAGTCCACTGAAGAATTAGTGCTATGATTCAACGTATTTCTAAGTAGGTTAGATGCTACTAACCGCAACAAACGTGACTTGACAGTCTTTATAGAGTCTTAATATGAATGAATTGACAAAACATTACCGCAGATGACGCCAAAATTTGGAATACAGTAACGAAAACAACGGGCTCTCTGGCACTCCAGGAAACGTTGAAAACGGCTAATCTCCGGGCTCTTCTGAACGTTATGGAATTCAATGTGCCAAAGTGTA